GATATTCAAGCGACATCTGAATAGCTTCTTGTATCAGATATTCTAATATTTAGATATCTCCCAGATATCTTTGTGACATGTTTTGCTGTGTGGGTTACGCATTGACAACGAACGCTGCTCTTGATTTCCGAATTGCGATGTTTTCGTTTCAACCTCCGATTGCTTTAAAGCTTAAGGCAGGATACCACCTTTGACTGCGATTTTGGAGGCGTTTTTCATGAATTTTTTTTCATACAAAGAGTACGCAGTAACAAAATCGGTTTTAGTCATTCATTAATGTAACTTTATGTAATTACAAACTGAAAAATTCAAAAATAATCTCTTGTAGGTGGTGCCAAAATACATTCCTTTGGAGGAACACCGTTAGACGACGTGTCAAATTCCGCTCTGTACGTGGCTCCTAGAAAAAAACTAAAGACTGTTCTTATTAACAACAATATTTTTTAATGCTGCACGTAGGGATTTTACGAAATTTCGATTTTTAAAAAAATGACCGCCATTTTCTTAAAAATCGAAATTTCGTAAAATCCCTACGTATAGCATTAAAAAATATTGTTGTTAACAGAAATATTTTTTGGTTTTTTTTCTAGGAGCCACGTACAGAGCGGAATTTGACACGCCGTCTAACGGTGTTCCTCCAAAGGAATGTATTTTGGCGCCACCTACAAGAGATTATTTTTGACTTTTTCAGTTTGTAATTACAGATGAAAATTACATTAATGAATGACTAAAACCGATTTTGTTTCTGCGCACTCTTTGTATGCAAAAAAAATTCATGAAAAACGCCTCCAAAATCGCAGTCAAAGGTGATATCCTGCCTTAATTAAAGCATCATCGGAATCGGTACTTGAGTTGGGCCTGCATTTAAATAAAAAATTAATAACGAATTAAAAAGATACAACGGAATAATTATAATATTTCAGACGCTATGATGTATGTTTATAACCATATCGCTCTATTTTCAGGCAAAAACTTTCAGTTTTAATATATAAATAACCTGCAGTATTATCAGTATTTAAACAATTACTCTATTATTTATTTGTATTATAATTCGTCGGATGTTAATAAGCACATTACTGACTTATTTTATCACAATATTCATTCGTACAAATCAAAATATCGGTAATATCAATACTTAAAATCCACATTTATGTTTGTTATATGTATATTATCTTCTATAATGATATAAAATTAAGTTTCCTCTACCTTGAATGTTGGTGCGTTAATCACTTAATGTTTATGCATAATTGTATTACACAATACCCAAATGTTAAACTTATTTCGGAAAGCATTAATAATTATTAATACATCAAATACAATTGTGTATGTAAGTATATTAAGGCGGGTTCAGACATGTGTCGTATCACCGTATCGTATCGTGATCGTGTATCATATATGAACAGCTAAGTGTAGACGGTGCGCCGTATCCGTATCTCGTATCGTATTTACGTATCATCTTGATACGCAGATACGATACAAGTATAATCCACTTGGAGTCGGTATTTTACCGAAACATCAAAGAAATGATACGTGATACGGATACTGTCAGTGTAGACGCGTTTCCGATCCTGACCACTCCATCTGACAAGGCAGCATCGCTATTCAGTCGTGTTGCTTCGTGTCTGGCGGTTGCTTGATGTCAGAATGGAGTGGTCGCAAGACAAAGTAATTGATTTAATAAATGTATATAAAGAAAAATCTATTCTTTGGAGTGCAACAAATCCGCATCATTTTAATCGCTTAAAAAAAAAAGATGCATGGGAGGAAATCGCGCGTGACACTGGAATATCGGTCGAGCATTGCAAAAAGAAGATGGAATATCTTCTTTCTGCTTTAAGAAGAGAAAAATCAAAAATGAAAAAGAGCATGGGTACGGGGAAAGGTAAGTACTTGATAAATGCAAATATTTTTCTGTAAAAAAAACAATTTTAGCGGATATGAATTGGTTGTGATTTCCCAGTAAAATGAGTTTATTCTGTTGCCTCATAAGTTTTATGTGATTTATGAAGAAAATTCAATTACAATTAATTACAAGTAATACTATTTATCGCTATATATATACATATACAGGGTG